AAAACATTCAATGATATGTGCTCAGTACATCTAATAGCCTCCCTCCATCCTGATTCCTTGTCATGAGCTTTAATATTGGCAAAATGTCCTCTCAGCTGATGGTTCAAGGCCAAGCAGAGGTACAAGGCTATTCCAGTGATGGAATATATCCCTTTTGAAAACTCCCCTGTGATTTACAGGTTTATGAAGTCTCTTGATTGGCCTTCTGACTTCCTCTCACCAATGAAGCAGTGTATACTGCTGGGTGCATTTTCACCCCTAATGACTGACTTCAGGGACTGGAGAATACAGATTCCTTATATGAATCTGAATTCAAGGGTGGCTGCAGGCACCACAGTTTCAGTCCTGCTCTGCCTGGATTGTTGTTTGGAAAGAACATAAGAACAGCCCATCGAGCCCAGCATCCTGTTCTTGGACTACTGCAATGCGCTCTACGTGGGGCTACCTTTGAAGGTGACCCGGAAACTACAACTAATCCAGAATGCGGCAGCTAGATTGGTGACTGGGAGCGGCCACCGAGACCACATAACACCGGTCCTGAGAGATCTGCATTGGCTCCCAGTACATTTCTGAGCACAATTCAAAGTGTTGGTGTTGACCCTTAAAGCCCTAAATGGCCTTGGCCCAGGATACCCGAAGGAGCGTCTCCACCCCCATTGTTCAGCCCAGACACTGAGGTCCAGCTCTGAGGGCCTTCTGGCAGTTTCCTCACTGCGAGAAGCAAAGCTACAGGAAACCAGGCAGAGGGCCTTTTTGGTAGTGGTGCCCGCCCTGTGGAACGCCCTCCCATCAGATGTCAAAGAGATAAACAACTACTTGACATTTAGAAGACATCTGAAGGCAGCCCTGTTCAGGGAAGTTTTTAATGTGTGACATTTTAATGTATTTTTAATCTTTGTTGGAAGCCGCCAGAGTGTACCCCAGCCAGATGGGTGGGGTACAAATAAATTATTATTATTATTATTATTATTATTATTATTATTATTATTATTACTGCAATGGCCAACCAGATACTCAAGGGAAGCCTGCAAGCGGGATCTGAGTGAAACAGCACCCTCCCAACTTGCAACTCCCAATAAGTAGTACTGAGAGGCATCATGGCTGGTTAACCATCATAGCTATCACAGCCACCAATAGCTTTATTCTCCATGAAAAGGTAGGTTTCAATCTGTCGTCTCCATATGGAATTGATTCTGTAGCTCACTTTCAGGGCAAGTCAATTGGCGTCTGCCATTGAGATGAATTAGCACAGGCAGTCTTTTTGATCACTTAGTTCTTGGAGAGGCTGCCCCCCCCCCCAAGAAACTTCCCTATCTGCCTGACATTCAATGGGTTGGGGCGGGCAGGAGCTGAGTGGTTTCAATCCGATATATTTTTGCAAAATGTTACATTAGGTTATGCATTCGTTTCAGTATCCATTCCTAAACCCCCTCCCTGAATCTGAAAGAATAGAGAAGGCAATAGGAAAAGGAATGTGTATGCATGAACAAAACCTATTTAAAGACATATTTTTGGCACAGGTTCTTTTATACTTTAGGTACCCATATTGCATCTGGTCGTAAACCTGCTTTCGTTCTGAGCTGGCAAGCACTTCGCTCAAGCTCCAGATTGCTTTTAAGTGGCTGGGTCTTTGCATCATTAAGCAATCATGACGACAATTGGGCATTCTCATTGACAATTAGGCTTCCCATGTTGAGGAACTGTAGAGTTAGCGCAGATCAGCCAACACCTCCGTATTTTCGTTGGGGATGAAGACTGAAGCTGGAATATGTACACCTGCCTTTGAGAATATCCATCCCCGGTTACCCATGCAGCTGTCTCCCTTCCATGCCCTCTGCCTTCTGTCTACTGTCAAGGGGTAGGGCACAATTCAGGAAAGGTCAAGCACTTCTGGATTAAAAGACTGTTAGGAAATCTCTTCCACTGCAATCAAGGGGACTGAAAAGTGCTCAAGTTTGGCTGAATCTTGCTCACAGATTTTAAGTTCCTCTGGGCACGTGCCCTGCATTTCCCCCCTTGCTTATGTTACTTTGCAAAATACCATGTAAATGGGTGGTGCTAGACACATCTCTTTAATGTGGCATTGCTGCTGTTGAGAACAAATTCCTACCTACTCTCCTCCCAAAGCTTTTCAATATTACGATAGACACTTGGTAGAGTTTTGTTGTAGAGAGCAGAGTGGGATGGGAATCTAACTCTGGAATTCTAATACAGTGGTACCTTGGGTTACAGATGCTTCAGGTTACAGACTCTGCTAACCCAGAAATAGTACCTTGGGTTAAGAACTTTGCTTCAGGATGAGAACAGAAATCGCGCGGCGGAGGCGCGACAGCAGCAGGACGCCCCATTAGCTAAAGTGGTGCTTCAGGTTAAGAACAGTTTCAGGTTAAGAACGGACCTCCAGAATGAATTAAGTTCTTAACCCGAGGTACCACTGTATATTAATATTAGGACAAGAATTCTAACTGGATAAATAGGTCTTTGCCACAGCTGTCTATTTTTTTAAAAAAATAATATCTGTTGTTTTAAACTGCTTTTTAATTGTCATTATATATAAATATAATATATAATATATAAATATATATATAAATATGGAAGGTGACATAATAATCTTAATGCTAATGCTATTAATAATAGGAATGATCCCACTAATATGAACTCTTTCTAGGTTTCATTGATTTCATTGGGAGATACTGAACTTAAAAGTGCTTCAGTTTGACTGGAAATGCTCCCAATATTATTATTATTATATAGAGTGACAAGCAAGTGCTGTCATCAGTCTGGTGTAGATGTGACCCTGGTGTTGAGCTGCCTGCACTTATTTATCAGCTCTGAATTGAAACAGTTCACACTGCAAGGCAGAAAATGGTTTAAAAGTGTGTGTGTGTGTGTGTGTGTGTGTGTGTGAGAGAGAGAGAGAGAGAGAGAGAGAGAGAGTTTGCAAGTGACTAATCTGGGTAGTGTAAGAAAGATGGGTCTCTGTTGTAGATAAATCAACTCATTTTGTTTTCTTCCCATCTGTCCTCCATGTGAGGCTGCCCATATGAACAATTCTGCCTCACGAAACCCCATAGGGATGACATCCATATCGCAGGAAGAACTGTGGCTATACATCACTTTGGTGCCTCAGCTAATTTTGAAATAACCATGGCAGGTGCACTTTTCTTAAAGATTACTTCAAGCCAAATGCCTGTGAAATAAGGGATGATCTTCTTTCCTGACCAGCATTATTCATATTCTTCTGAGAGCTTACTGTAGGCTAAATATCACCTGAATTTCAATTTGGTATTTTGACATATAACCAGCAATAGTTATCAGCAACTTTTTTTGAGGGGGGGAGGGGAGCGATATTTCTCAGTAGCTGGGGCTTAGAATCAGAATGAATGGCATTAGTGCTATGCTCAATCAAGTCAATGCTTTTGCTTTGCATAAAAGTTTATTTACTTGCCACCACCCATATCCCAGGAGCCCGATGTGAGTGTGTGCATATGTGTGTGCACATATACTGCAGGCTCCACATTTGAAATGCAAATACAACCAACAAGGAAAGGGGCTGTGGAGACTTGAGAAATAAGAGCCTTCAATCTCCTTGAAGGTGATGATAGAAGGAGTTTGGCAGATGTGTGTATTCTAATGATAAGGAGTAGCTAAGGCACATGCATGCAAGCCAAAGACAGTTATCTTGGGCTTGAAAAAGAAGGCTGGTAGTGAAAGAGCAGAGGAGGAAGAGCTTTGCTATCATCAGAGTAGGATTTTGGGGCAGAAGTTGGTGGTCCTTTTAAGGGGACTACCCCCAAGTGCATCAGGGAAGCCTTTTCACATGTCGTCTTCTTCTTTCTTCTTTGGCAATCACTCATAGCCAAGTAAGATTGTCTTCCATAAACACGGTTTTAACAGTGAGTCTGTAAGTGACCATGGAGGCCAATTCTGGATCCACAAATCCTTCCATAGTGGGGATGTTGGTTTCCAAGCGGGAGTTGATCACGGTGAGGCTTTGCCAAGCGTGTCTTCCTCTTAGCGCGTTTCTCCCTTTTGTCCTGAGTTCAAGCGTCTTCAAAGCCCATGACACCTTTGGTAAAGGCTGTTCTCCAATTGGAGCGCTCGCAGGCCAGTGTTTCCCAGTTGTTGGTGTTCATACTACATTTTTAAAGATTTGCCTTGGGAGAGTCTTTAAACCTCTTCTGTTGACCACCAGCATTACGCTTTCCATTTTTAAAGTTCGGAATAGAGTAGTTGCTTTGGAAGACGATAATCAGGCATCTGCACAACATGACCAGACCAACGAAATTGATGTTGAAGAATCATCGCTTCAACACTGGAGATCTTTGCTTCTTCCAGTACACTGGCATTAGTTCACCTGTCCTCCCAAGTGATGTTTAAAAAATTTCGGAGACACCGTTGATGGAATCTTTTGAGGAGTTGGAGATGACATTTATAAGTGGTCCATGTTTCACAAGCATACAGTAAGGTTGGTAGTACAATAGCTTTATAAACAAGCATTTTGATTTCCCTGTGAATGTCCTGGTCCTCAAAGACTCTGGACTTCAATCAGGAGAAAGCTCCACTCGCAGAGCTCAGGAGATGCTGAGTTTTGGCATGAATGTTGGCCCTTGTGGGAAGATAACTTCACATGTAAAGGTGCTCCAACCCCCTGGTGCAAACTCAGCATCTAAAATGACTCAACCATACCATGGAGGAAGAGAAAGTGAACAAATAGAGGTTAAGTACAACAAGCAAAGTAAGTGGGACAAGTTTGTATGGAACGCAGAAGGGTAAAGGAATCCAATGCAAGGAACAGCACTGAGGAGGATGATGAAGGCAGCAGGGTTACGTGGCAAATCAGAATTGGTCCAAGTAGCTCAGTATTGTTTACCCAGAAAGGCTGTGGCTCTCAAGGGTTTGAGACAGAGGATCTCTCCTAGCCCTACCTGGAATTGATGATGATTGAACCTGGATCTTCAGCATGTGAAATAGACCATTCAGCTAAGGCCCTTCCTTTTCCCACTTCTTGGCCTTTTGGCTAAGATCAAGTGTGTGTAGATAAGCCCATGGTAAGAGGAAAAACTTTTCAGTCTGTAGTCTAGATTGCTAATGCGCTCACAATATAAAGATTTGTTCATATATATTTTTGTCCATTGGAGATAACAGATTTTTTTCTTCTTTGGGACACCCATATTCACCTTCCTGTGGCAGCAGCAGGAAAATATAGGTACACATAAAGGGGCAAAATGAATTTCTCCTGCTACTGGTGGGAGCGTTGTTCCACAGTCCAGATTTCCAAAAGAGAAGCAATGGGATGTTTTACTCTTTTCTATGTATTTTCCTTGCAGTAACTCCTTTTTTATGTTGGTCGAATTAAATTTCATGTCATACTTAGGATTGCAATCTCACTTCACTTTCCAGTAATAATAATAATAATAATAATAATAATAATAATAATAATTTATATGCGAAGTCTTTCCTTTAAGGAACCACAGGGGTTCAGGCAATGGGGGTGAAAGGCAGTGTGGAGTAGTGGTTAGAGTGTTGAACTGGGATTTGGGAGATCAGGGCTAAAATCTGTATTCAGCCGTGAAGCTCACTGGGTATCTCTCAGTCTAACCTGCCTCATGGGGCTAGTGTGAGGATAAAATGAAGAACCTTGGAGGAACAATGGATTATAGTGGTAATAATACTTTCATCATTTGGAAACTTACATTTGATATCAATGGCACAGGATCAAGCCTGGCATGTTGTTGCCAACCCCCCTGCCACTTACACATTCCTACATAGGAATGTGTCCCATTATTCATTCAAATTTACACCACCACTTTTCAGCTGTCCAGTATACTCAGAGCAGTGCATTTAAAGAGCATCGCCTGATGTGGGGACTATCCATAAGGGTTTCCTTGAGGAATCATCCCCTGGTATTTGAAACACAGAGGTGGCGAGGGAGCTGCCCCTATTGGCATCCCTGAGCCCACAGGTTGGCTTTTGATTCTCCCAGCAACACCAAATTCTAAATCTCAGCAAAGTGGTCGATGATGCTTCCCTCCCTCCCTTAGGTTGAATCCCACACATTTACAGGTGGAGCCACATTGTAGCGAGTGACACAGACAGATGACATATTTATTAGCTTGTCAAGGCCTCCCCTGTTTATGGAAGACTCACCCAGCTAAACAAAACAGTCTGCTTCCCATTGGCTAATTGAGATGCCCCCCTGTCGAGAGGCTCGGCAAAGTGCTTGATGAGGCATAAAATGATGATTAATTAATTTACTGCACAGTTGATCATCAAACTGAGAGGTTTATGATGCTCACAGCGGTCAGCAGTCTCTCTCCACCATACAACAGCGTGAACAGCCTTTGCTCTGTCCTGCTGCTGCCTTTGCTATGACCTGTGCTGGGATACCTTAACTCAGGGAGGCGGGAAAACATGAGAGTGGAAGGAATGAGTGGAGGAAAAGTTTCAAAAGAAAGAATTGAGGCTTCCTCGTATGCAATGCATTTTGAGTTCTTCTGGATCAGAACCTTGGTTGGAGCTCAGGCTAATATGCTTCTGAGTATTCCTATCAAAACGTTTCTTTTGTGAATTTTAACCCAGAATATTTTCTCAACACATGAATGTTTTTTGGATATTCTGTGCAATTTGATTTTGATTCATGTGTTTGAATTCATGTGTTTGAATTCTTGTGTTGATTTTGAGATATAATTAATGTCCACAGTTGATTTTAATATTTGATGTTGAGTAGTGTTTGATAAGGGACGCGGGTGGCTTGCCAATTGGAAGGCTGGCAGTTTGAATCCCCATGACGGGACGAGCTCCCATTGCTCAGTCACTGCTCCTGCCAACCTAGCAGTTTGAAAGCACGTCAAAGTGCAAGTAGATAAATAGGTACCGCTCCGGCAGGAAGGTAAACGGTGTTTCCGTGTGCTGCTCTGGTTTGCCAGAAGCTGCTTAGTCATGCTGGCCACATGACCCGGAAGCTGTACGCCGGCTCCCTCGACCAATAAAGTGAGATGAGCGCTGCAACCCCAGAGTCGTCCATGACTGCACCTAATGGTCAGGGGTCCCTTTACCCTTTACCTCTAGTGTTTGATAACTGACATGTAATGGAATTTTTAGCACCCAAATTGTATAAAATGACTTACAGTAGGATTTAATACTTGATAGTATTCAATGGTTGGCATTTAATATGTGGCAGAATTTGGTAGAGAGACAAGCATATTAATATTCGCTAGATTTGTTTGGGGAATACCTGAAATCTTGCGAGTGGGCCTCCCTCTACACCAGCTAGCATCTATCAATTAATCTCACATATATATTCCAGCTTTCCTTATTTATTTATCTAATACTTATTCATTCTCAAAATTCTTGGGTTTTGAACATGATCTAGGGGAACCTAAGAATGCCAGTGCTTCAGTCTCTCAACTGATACCAAAATGGTTGACAAGTGGTTAACTTTGACTGGATTGTGTCCTATGAGGATGAGCCAGTCAAATTATATACCATTCAACTCTCCTTAAATTAAGACGTTTCAGGCTTCAACCGTACACCCTCTAACGTGGAAGTAAGGCCAACTGAAGTCAGCAGCATAAATATTCTTAGATAGGGCTAAGTTGTATCCATTGTTGAAAGTAAACTCTGAAAACTGCTGTCAAAAGCCAATTCCAAGCCTCCTCTCATTCTTCTGACATTTTGACATGCAGGGTAATGTAGCAAAGAAAGGATAGGACAGACAGGATAGAGAAGATCAGGCTGGGCTTTTCAGTGGCTGATCAGGGCAAGGGGAGCTTTCATCCATTGGTGTTGCCTGAATTCACCTGTTTAATTTCTATAACATAAATGAATGGCTGCCATTCATTCCTCAGGCAAAATTTTTAGTAAACTGCCTTCGTTGGTAGTAGAAGAAGAAGAAGAAGAGTTTGGATTTGATATCCCGCCTTTCACTCCCTTTAAGGAGTCTCAAAGCGGCTAACAATCTCCTTTTCCCTTCCTCCCCCACAACAAACACTCTGTGAGGTGAGTGGGGCTGAGAGACTTCAAAGAAGTATGACTGGCCCAAGGTCACCCAGCAGCTGCATGTGGAGGAGCGGAGACGCGAACCCGGTTCCCCAGATTACGAGACTACCGCTCTTAACCACTACACCAGTACTGCTGTGTAGAAGACCTGTCTTTCATCTATGATGCCATGGCTGGCCAGCCCTTACTGACAGGGATCCTGCAGAGGTGGGTCACATGCTTCTGTGTACAGAGCCTGCCCCCAGCCCTATCATTAGGCTAAGTAAGGAAACTACCTCAGGCAGCAGATGCTAGGAGGGGGCAACATTCCCCTAGATCAATAATAATAATAATAATTTTTTATTTATACCCCGCCCTCCCCAGCCAAGACCGGGCTGAGGGCGCCTAACAACCAATGATAAAAAAAGTTGATTAAAATACAATTTTTAAAAAAGATTAAAATACAACATTAAAACAGCCTCTTCACAGGAGGAGAAAGGAAAATGAAAGAGGGGGGAGGGAATCAAACTGATTCTAAGCCAAAGGCCAGGTGGAACAACTCTGTCTTACAGGCCCTGCAGAAAGAAATCGGATCCTGCAGGGCCCTGGTCTCATAAGACAGAGCATTGAGAAGGTCCTGGCTCTGGTTGAGGCTAATCTAACTTCCTTAGGGCCTGGGACCTCTAGGGTGTTGCTATATATGGACCTTAACGTCCTCCATGGGGCATACCAGCAGAGGCGGTCCCATAGGTACGAGGGTCCTAGGCTGTGAAGGGCTTTAAAGGTCAAAACCAGCACCTTAAATCTGACCCTGTACTCCACCAGGAGCCAGTGCAGCTGGAAAAGCACTGGGTGAATATGCTTCCATGGCAGAGACCCTGTGAGGAGCCTCACTGCAGCATCCTGCACCTGCTGGAGTTTCTGGGACAGCTTCAAGGGCAGCCCCATGTAGAGCGAATTACAGTATTCAAGCCTGGAAGTGACTGTCACATGGATCACTGTGGCCAGGTCAGGGCGCGAAAGGTAAGGGACCAACTGCTTGATGCGGCGAAGGTGGAAAAATGTTGCATTGGCTGTTGCTGTAACCTGTGCCTCCATGGAAAGGGAGGCGTCAAGGATTACACCCAAACTCTTAACGGAAGGCAATGGCACTAACTGGGCCACCGCAAGAGAAGTGAGTTGGTCCCTCATCCCCATACCATCCCAACCCAGCCAGAGGACCTCTGTCTTCGAAGGATTTAGTTTCAATTGGCTCCCACGAAACCATCCAGCTACAGCTTCCAAACATCTGGTCAGTGTGTCCGGGATCGAGTCAGTATGGTCATCCATCAGCAGATAGAGCTGAGTGTCATCAGCATATTGGTGACAACCCAGCCCAAAGCTCCGGACAATCTGGGGAAGGGGGCGCATAAAGATGTTTAAAAGCATCAGGGAGAGGAATTGCGCCCTGCGGCACTCCACACACCAAGGAGTGGCACGACGACATCTCCCTCCCTAGTGCCACCCTCTGTCCCCGACCAGAGATAAAAAAGCACAGCCATTTATGGGCTATGCCCTGTATTCCCACGTTGGCGAGGCGGTGGTCCAAAAGATCATGATCGACCATGTCAAAGGCTGCTGACAAATCTAAAAGGATCACCGCCTCCATCCAGTTGTCTAGATCAGCTTGCTATTTTCAAGTGACTTTGAAGACATTACCCCATTGCCAGGGTTGAAGTAACCTTCAGTTTTTTAGTTTGCTGCTATATGTAGAGGGCGTGTGTTCATCCGCTTAGTCCTATGCATCAAGTAGAAAAATATCTTAGGCTGGCCCTGGCAGAGCCTGCAGAAACACATTACTTTTCCTGAGAAGATTTGCAATCTGCAAGTCCTCCCCACTAGTCATAACAATGGGAATTTGGCTGGTTTCTTGATAAAAGGGAGTGTTGAGTAGATCTCATCCCAAAGGAAAATGCACTCGCTTCAATATTGCATCATTATTATTTCCCCCCAAACCTCATTGTCTGGCAAGTCACCCAATTGCATGCAAAATGCATAAAAGATAAAAACACCCATTCTTCTTTATTTAATTATTCAGCATCAGTTTGAATAAATGTGCTAAAAACATCGGAGGGTTTAAGCGCCTTCTCGATGAAGCCTCCTCTCTTATCCTTGGATAATTCCCTAAATTATTTATTTAGATATAGGTGTAAAGTGCTTTTATGTACCAAGGCTATCCCTTGAATAAGCAGCCTCATT